CACACAACTGGCGACATGCGCCCACACAGTACACAGAGATATGTCTCCCAGGTAAGTTCGCTTCCACTAGCTATGGCGACTGAGCGCCCTTACAATTCACTGTTCACACTCTGGATCACCCTGGATGTCCCACACGCAACACTCTGTAACCACACGCAACACACACACACACTACTGCAGCTATGGCAGCGCTAGCTGCCACTACCCTAGCGCTATACTACACTCCTCTGCCCCCTTCGTCTTCGGGCACACTGCAGACCTCCTCGCACAAGCTGCTGAGGCAGCGCTTCCGCATGGCATCCGCAGGAATGAATGAATGGCTGGACGCAGCCTCTTGATTTATACTTCTTCGCTGCGTTGGTCTGCCCTGTGTCCCTTGGCCCTTGGTGCACACAGACGGTACTTGCTGGACAGGACCGGACTGCTTAACTGGGACTGTTGACTCAGCGAGGTGGCCTACCACCACTTGACCACTTGCCTCTGTTCAACGCAGGCTCATTTCGAAAGGCCACTTCTAGAACCCTCTGACTTGGCCTTTCGGTACTGTAGCAGCTACGACTTTGCCCCTTCAGGTAAGTAGCAGCTACGACCTTGACCCTTCAGGCATCCTACAGCTACGACTTCGGAACGGTCTAGACTCCTACTCTACAGGTCTACAGTTCGATTCCCTTCTACCCTGTGACCTACGACAATCTACCTACCACTGGCATTCCTACAGGTCGCAGGTTCAAATCTACGGGTGGACATCAATACTGTACACAGGTAAGATGGGGAACTAGGGATCGAGCCCTGGGATCTGCATTCGCTACTGCGAACCGGTGAATACCGTTTCAAAAGAAAAATATGCACAGGAAATTAGCATCCAGGAGAAAATTTGCAACCTTGAACAGGAAAGCAGTGCGTCGCTGCCCCCTCATCCCCAAACAGAATCCGCTGAAATACAATTGCTTAAAAAACAGCTCTTAGATTTTGCCCAGCAAAGATGGCAGGGCTCCATCATCAGAGGCAAGTTATCCAGGCACACCACAGAGGGACAAATGGACACATCCTTTTTCGTGCTGGCACAAACAAGGTCCAGAAGATTCACCATAGGTGGACTATATGATCCGATTAAAACACGTTAAGTCACCTCGTACTCCTCGGCCGATGGCCTGAAAGTGGCAGGGACTTTTATAAAGACTAGATGACCCGTTGCGGCTTCGCCCACAAAAACAGAAAAAGAAAAAAACACAAAAGAAAGAAAACGCATAAGGAACTGCCCTGTCATATGCCGCTTCTTTCACAATAAGAAAAAGAAGAGCCTGCGAGCAGACGAAAACCCGCGTGCAAGAAAATAGCAGGGACTACCACCGAACATTTTTTTTCTTTATCTTTGCGTGTTTTGTTTGGGGAGCCGTTACCTTTGCAGCATCGTTTTTGTTTTGTGCTGTGCAAGAACTCCGGACTTTTCTGAGAAAATCCAGTCCTCTGTCCCATTGATGTTTTTGGTAAAGATTCAGAATCAGACTTTGTTTGCTGTGTTCTCTGGATATGTTTGTGATCAAGCTATCTTGCATGTATGCCCCGTGCTTGCTTGTCGAGTTTGGGCGCTGTGTGTGCAAGTGCAAGCGCGTGTGGGTGAGTCTCAGTTTGGTGGGCTCGGATGATGTCATTGACGATTGGCCCGGGGAAGTTGTTGGAAGGCGCCTCCGACTATAGGAGTGCCACTGATGTTAAGCAAGTTTTGCATTGCATGAATGAAACAATCAGCATTCAATCTGCTTGTGAGTTGCTCTTCGGGTGGGGGACTTGTCGGGAGTAGCATTGACATGAGAGCCATAATGCCGGGCGTGCATCTTGGAACATTTCCTGGAAGGCGAAAGGCAAAGAGGAAAAGAAGTAGCACGTGTCACAGTCACATAATGGACAGCTTGGCACAGGCCGCCCCCTTCTCTCTCTCTCTCTCTCTCTCTCTCTCTCTCTCTCTCTCTCTCTCTCTCTCTCTCTCTCTCTCTCTCTCTCTCTCTCTCNCTCTCTCTCTCTCTCTCTCTCTCTCTCTCTCTCTCTCTCTCTCTCTCTCTCTCTCTCTCTCTCTCTCTCTCTCTCTCCGCTCCCCCCTTGACTTCGAACTTGGAACCCTTTACTCCACCCCAACCTTCTCCTAGCCCCGCCTCCCCCTCCGCCCCCCCGACCTGTCAATCCCCTGAGGAGTCGGTGAATAGTCCGATTGCGCCACGTGGCTGGAGTTGTGTATAGAGAACATGACAACACACCAAACAAAAAAGAACAAAAAAGAAAAAGGCAAAACAGCCTGCGCGAGCCTTTAACCTCCCCCATCTGCCGCCGACTTCCCCCAACCCTCCTCTCTCTCTCTCTCTCACACACACACACACACACAAAAAAATAAAAATAAAAATAAATAAATAAATAAATCAAAAATCAAAAGACAGAAGACAAAAGACATCCTGGCACGTAGCGCGGCTATTTCTCCCACCACCTCGCCGGCTTCCCCCTCACCCTCCTCCCTTCCCCTGTCTATCTCTCTCTCCCACGCACGTAAGAAAAAAAATAGAGAAAAAAGACAAAAAAGCGTGATGAACCTTTAACCTCCCCCCCAGCCACCAACTTCCTCCTAATCCTCATCGACTCCCCCATCTCTCTCTCTCTACACCGCTCCTTTGGGAGTTCTATTGCCAGGCTCTATCTTAATTCGATGCTGGATCGACCGCGATACTACCCCTGTAGGCGACTCAGATAAATCTGCATATTCCTCTAATAGCTTGGCAATACGAGGGTTTATGGGCTTTTTGGACTTAGGCTCAGTGACTGGCCTAACATAGGCAACAAAGACTTGTTCTTCTAACTGCTCCTTTGCTAATCTTACGAATGTAGGAGCGCTGAGACAACAATGTGCTAAGGGGTTGTCTACCCCTGACACATGAAACAGGCGAGCAGTCTTAACTCCACCTGACGGGTTAGGGAGCCTACTCTCGTGCTCTCTCAAGTGGAGTGTGGCCCCTGCTGCCGCTCCCCAGTCCATTCCTAGGACTATATCAAATGGGAGGTTGTCTTCTACGAGGAGTGGCTTGGACTCCCTCGACATAATCCTCAACTCGCATCGTGAGATTGTCTGCGAGGATGCTGACTATAGGTTCCTCTAGCTTTCGGACCTTTAGATTCAGCTTCAACTTTTGTAGCGCTTTGCGACTAATATAGCTACGGGTGGCCCCATTGTCTATAAGAGCCCCTACTCTGCCTCTAAAAATCTCTACATCTACCAATACTAGCTGTCCTTTTCCATCCTTCTTCATCTTGGCCCAGACATACATTCTCTCCTTCAATTCTTCTGCCACGCCTGTGAGGGAAGTGCTTGGAGAGACCCTAACACAAGCAGTCTCTAGACAACTTTCTAGGCATTGGCCAGCAACCTCTACCATAGACGCATGTGGGTTGGGAGTTTCTCTATGGTGCGCGCACTCTTCTCCACATGGTCTAGAGGTAAGGGCAATTGCGACCCCTACTGGCGGTTGCCTTTTGCTGCCTGTGCAGCAAACCGGGCCTCTCTGTTCTTGGGGCAGTATTTAATAATAAGACCTGGATCACCGCAATGAATGCACTGATCTTGGTCTATCCTTCTCTGCCAGACTTTCTG